AGCAGCAGGGCCCCGGTTCAGATCCCACATGGGGGCCACTGACACTGCCCTCTACAGCTAAGATGGTGAACAACAGCTCGACCAGGAGCTGGGCTGCCGTGAGTTGCCAGCGACGGCGTAGGCTGCAGCCCCTGCTGCAGTGGGCTGCCATAAGCTACTGTGTGTGGCCGGCAGCCAGCGTGAGTGGCTGGCAGCCTGTGTGAGCTGCCAAGAGCCACCGTGAGTGGCCGTCCAGAGGCTGGCAACCGATCTGCCTCACCTGGGAAGAGCGCAATGATAATACCAACATGAGCCAGAGAAGCAATGTCTTCCACAACTAGACTGAAGAACAAAATGACAGCACCTTGTCTGTTCCCCTCCCCCAATTCCCCAAAAAAATCTTAAACAAAAAAAAAAGTAAATTTGACAACCGTTTCATCTTTTCTAATCATCTTCATGACAGTTTCCTGTCTAGCCCTCTTTCATCTCTAGAAAAGCTCCCTAAAGTTTACAATTAGAGACTGTTGGAAGTAGAGGGATGGTTAGTCCGACCTTTGTTTTACAGATCGCAAACTGAGGCCCAGGGCTGAGAAGGGGCTTGATCCCCATCACAGAACTAGAAGACGGCAAAGCCAAGATTGGAACCAATACCTCCTCACTCCACTCCAGCCCTCTCCTTACCCTCACAGGTTATCTTCCTTAGGAAAGGACATTTAGTGATGGGCTGAATGAATCAACATCATGTCAGGTTTCCATCAGTTCCCCAGAATGATAATCTACGTTATGCTGTATAGCTGAGCAAAGCCTGGTTTTCCACCTCACAGGAATTGCTGGTTTTAGGGCACCTACTAGGCATCGTGGTAAAATGAAGGTCTGAAGGTAGGCACTGTCTGGAGGAAGTGCTCATGAACCTGGGACTTTAGGCTCCACAATCCCAGCCCGAGCTAGAATTGCCTTTATTCAATTTTAAAGCAAAGCCATCAGAAAGCAAGCACGAGTCCAGGATGTGGAGACGCATCATTGGGTTCCCAAATGAAGGACAAGCTGGCTCAGGAGGCCAGGTCCACCCCAATCCGCTCCTTCCTAAAGAGCATCTCTTACCGTCCAGCCATGGATCACCACAAACGTTTTGCTGCTGTGGTTGAAGTGGCAGTTAGCCACAGATTCTGTCACTCCAGGAATGAGGTGGCAAGTGTCTTCAGCTGTGTCTTCAGGGGTCCTTAGAGCAAATTTACTTTCAATGTTCGTAAAATCACTTCCTCCTGTAATTTCTGAGAAGAAAAAATTGAATAGGAAGTTAACTGGAGTGTTGTTTTTTTTGTTTTGTTTTGTTTTGTTTTGCTTCCGGAATGCTATTTTTTAGGCTCATAAGCAGCCACCACCAATACTATTTTTGTTTCTAAAATTAAAAAAAAAAAAAGAATGAATGTGGATTGCAAGAGAATGATTGATCTGCTATTGGTGACCAAAATTGACAGAGATGGCCTTAAAATAACTGTGAGTTAAGCAATATTGATCCCTCCTACGTCTTCCATCCTCTCCTTCAGTCAGTGTGTGTGTGTGTGTGTGTGTGTGTGTGTGTGTGTGTGTGTGTGTGTGTAGAACTTCTATTTGAAATTCCTTAGTTAATTCAATCCTATCTCAAGATAGGAATTGGTCAAGGTCATGCTGTTCATAGTAGGAGAGAGTAGGGACCAGAACTGAAATCTCTTGGTTCCAATTCAAAGCTCATTCTCGTGGCTATCACATTGTATAGTTCCACATATTTCATATATTACTTTGCCTCCATAAGTCTCTGATTACATCAAAGGAATGTTTTTCCATAATATGATACAATGTCTTATTTGAGGGAAGATTGTTTCATTTTCACCAGCATAATTTTTTTTTTAATATTAGCAATGAGAAAAGATGGTGGCATGAGGAAGCTTTTGTATGGAATGGTTCCTACCCCCATGGCAAGACACATCAGTTCAAAACGTTCAAAAAAAATCACTTAGTGAGTTGTTCCCAAATACCTGTGCTATTATGAGACATGGTTAATTCTTTCCCCAAATATTTCTTTTCCCACTTATGTATTTACAGTCTTCCACACATAGTCAAAGCTTTAAAAACTACTGCAAAGCTGATTTGTGAAAAAATCCACTTTGGTTCTTCATAGTTAATCCCAGAATGAGTAAGGAGAGAAAGAGAACTTTAACCTATCTCTCTCCGGACACTAAATCTAAATGCTGATAAACCTTCTCAAGGTATTTGTAGACCGTACATATCATATCAGAGCGAACACTTAAAGTAAACTGTATTGCAGATAAAATCAGACTGTTTTACAAAGCAAGCACAGTCAAAGGGAAGTTATGTTAAGGAAAAGTACTGAACTTCTTGTCAAGTTAAAAACACCTATCTGTTCACTGTAAGAAGGTGATAACTTGTAGATTTTAGATTTCATTATTTAAAACTTTCAGAAGATAAATAACTGAGGTTGCTTAGAAATACATCTAATTTCTTAATCTAAACTTACTTTTCACAGCTCAAAAGTTGAAAATCTGTAATTTCAAATAATGTTGCAAAAGGGAGGCCAAAAATAAATATAAGAATGATATAGGGAAAGACAGGCATCCAAAACCAAACTTAACATATAATTGCCTGAGGACTGGCTAATATTTTCCTTTTTAATTATTTTTCAAAATTTCTTAAACAACGTTGTGATTACTTGCTAAGTGCTTTATTATATGCAGCAAGTTGATCACACACACACACACACACACACACACACACACACACACACACACTCTCTAGCACCTAAACATTCTTAAGGTAATTTGTTCAAATAAGAGACTGTGGTAAACTATTGATATTCAAAGCTTTTTTCACTTCCATATAGTAAAAATTGCACTTGAAATCCGCTCATCCATCAACAATACACTCTGCCTCTCATATTATTTGAAGATGTAGGCCTTCCTTTTTCTTCCTAACTGGAAAGCACACCAGTGGCCTTATTATTTATCTGATAGCGGGGAAAAATATTGTAGATTTTTATTCTGATTCTGCTTTAAATACCCAAAAAGTTATTTTATCATTAGAAAGTGCTTTAGAAAATTGAAAACTAAATTAGTTTCACTCTCGCCTACATCTTTCCACGTCAAATAACTCATGTCTTCTCATGAATGGTCTTATTTTAACATGTTCGATTAGCAGTCTTTTTAAAGCAGGAATAATCTGAGCAACTTGGCAGACAGATCTCACCCACCACCTACTTGCCAAACAGATATTTAAGACTCTCGCTTTGCACAACTCCAGTCCCTTTTAGTCTACTTTTCCCTAGAATTATGCAACATGGTGGTGCTGAGGGTTTTTAAATAACTAAGAATATTATTTGTAATT